AAGGGTCATCTGTTTGCATGGCTTCAGAAGGAATAGATCATGGATCAATTTTGGTTTTATCCAGTTTAGGGATGGGCAAGGGGCCGGATGTCTTGATTTTGACTGTGGTTTGATGTGGCATCTCAGTTTTTATAAGACACTCCAACCATGCAATCATGTTTTGCTTGAATATGGGATCTGTTGACATGTTCTTGCACACCATATCTGGAGAAGTGTTTCCCTTCAACCAAATGAGCAAACGGCAATGCAACATCCCCCTACCCTGGGCCTCGACAATGCCATACCACCCACTGCAGGTGCCAAACAAACCAGGCCCTTTTCCCATGCACAAGACAATGTCATGAAATCAAAGCATGGTATTGTGAAACTTGGATGCAGCAATGGTGTGATGTTGTGCAATGGACATTGCATGCTTAAAACACGTTCCTTTTGTGGTCCCCTGTGCAAGAGAGCCATAATCACAGTTGTTTGTGATGTTGAGGTGGCATAGATAACCATCAACGTCATATGGTGTAAGTGTAATGAAGAATGCCAGGTGTCCCAGGTGGTAAACCAGAGAACAGATTTCACTATGCTGGCAATGCTTGTATGCATTGCTCCCTGGCACATCTTGCCTCAGCATGTGGACCTTGTGCAGGACCCTCAAAGCCATATCTTCCTCTGGAGAGCTCAGCTTTGCCCAATGTGACTTTTGAAGTTTGTCTGCAAGTTTGCTGGTCATGGCAGGGATTTGCTGGATATTTTCCATGATTCAAGCATACTTCCCTTCTGTGATGCAAAATCAGACCAGCTGAGTGGCTTCCCTTATTTTTGCAATATGTTATGGAAAATGAATGCAAACACGGGATCTTGCTCAAATCTCCTGTGTGCCATGCAGAGGAGGTCACCTAATTGCTTTGTCATTGACACAGGCTTTTGCTGATGCAGATCATCAAATCCACCCAATGCAAAGGGATCCAGATGTGGAACCATCCATGTGAGGGTGTACTCATTACAGAAATCATGGATGGCATGATTGCCCCTCTGGGAAATGATAAACCATCCATGGTTTCAACAAAAAAGCACCCAGTTCAATGTCAGACTCTTGGAAAACATTGCATGAAGTAAGATCAGACTTGTGATGGCTTGTATATTGTTGATGTGCATAAGACTGTATTGGCATAGAGAAAGAGTAAAGAGGGTTGGGGGCGATGCCATCTGTCATTGTCTGAGACAAGGGGGAGAGGGAGATGTGTGGCATGCAGAAGCAAGCCACGTCAACAAGTTTGTGCAGGGGATTGTTGTCTGTGTTTTGTGTGTCATTTGTTGTTCTTCCTGTTGTCGTCATCCTCTACAAAGCTTTCCTCTGAACACTGGGTTGCAGCTACATGCTACATGCTTGAGGCAGACCTGTCAACATGACTATACCAATGAAACCTGTTCCCAGCAAACAAAAGGCATGGACTATGCATGCATGTAGCAAGGCATGGAGGATGGGTGATATGATGGGCATTGTGCTGAGCAGAGAGAGGCAGGTTTGGCTGGGAATGGTGCTATTGTGCTCTCTGCCACTTTTTCAGTACCTGATTGTGTTGAAGATGTGCAAGTGCTGCCTTCTGCTCCAACACTCTTTGTAAAGTGACCCAAGAGCAATGCTGCTGTTGCAGCAACACTTTTGGAGACCTTTTCTGCCAATTCGCTTCCAGCTCCTGTTCCTGTTGCTCCAGAGGAGGGAGATTGGATTTACAAAGTGGCTCCCTCTGTGCCCTGTCTCCTTGGCTTCCCATCATTGTCTCCTCTGTTCAGGATTCATGATGGGATCAGGATTTTGCCCAAGATGGAAAATCATTTCTATGATTTGATCAGAGATGTCTATGTAATCTGGTTGCCCATCTGAGGGGAGAGGACTACACCTGATCAGCCTGACCAGCTCTGCACATTGGCATCTGGAGACAATCCAGCAAGGTCCCCACCTTCTCTGGGGACACTCTGAAGCAAACTCCTTGGGCCACCAAATATATCAATCTCCTTATTGATTGTCTTAATAAGGTGGTGGGGCAGAGGGTGTTGAGATTGTTGGCTAGCCATGAGCCTGAGGTGGCAGAAGAGAGGAAAAAAGTGTGTAATCATCTTCTGCTTTTGCAACTCCTTCTGACGTGCTTTCAGGATCTTGGAGCACTCCTATTCACACCCAGCATTGGCTACCATGTTAGAGGAGAGACCAATGCTTCACCAAACTGCCTGGCACATGGTGGCCTTCAGGGAGGGACATGCTTATGTGCCTCACATTGATGTGATAGATGACATGGGTCAGTATTCCATCCTCTTTGTCTTTGGTAATTTCAAACTTGGCCACTTGGTTATTCCTGAGCTGGGTTTACAGATTCCCCTGAGGCCTGGCCAGCTGTTGTTCATCAACACAAGGCTTCTTGCTCATCATGACACTCACTTCATTGGAGTCAGATTTGTTTTCTCTGGCTTCATGGATGCCAACCTTTGCAAAGACTATAGAAAATCATGTGCTTAGTATAGCTTGCCTAGGGTAACTCTATGTGCATGTGGTACACCTTTCTCAGGTCAGTTTGCATGGGTGCAGCAAACACATGTACAACTCATGGGCATGTGTATGCCAGTAAGTCTGCTGAGGTAGGCAACCATGGGTATCACTGAGCGTGTGTGTAGGAACAGTATCATGCCACAACTGGAACACCATACATCATAGGACCAGCCATTCAAGTCTAGAAACCAGCCCTTTGAGTCTAGAACATGTCTTGATGGCACATGCCAATTCCACTGGGCTCAGGATTGTGGACCAGACCCAAAGCACTGTCCACCCTGTCTCATGGTTGGTTTGGCTCCATATGCTTCATAAGCACACAAGCCCTCAGACAACCCCTGTAGAGATACCTACCTACCTCTCTACCACCACTTATGTCAGTCATTCTCACTGCAATTGCTGGCTGCTATGACTGGCATCCCTTTACTATGGGATCATGACGTGGAGTGTAGCCTTGCCTACTGCTCCAGCTGCTGGCAGCTTGTGGAACATCCTCACCACAGATGATATGGTTGGAGTTCTGCACTATTTCCTTCTGACTGGTACACCTGAGCCAGAAGTTGGTGTATACAGCATTGCTAAGAAGAGTGCTGCAATGGTGGTTGGTGGAGGGTTCAGCTCAGATGATTGTGAGTTTGAGCTTGACTGCTTGGTGGTATGGTGATCATACAACTCCCTTCTTCCTAAGCCAGCTGATCAGTGTTCTCAGTTGATACTGCTGAACCAGAATGAGAAACTATCAATCCCCCCAGTGATCTGCATTGCTGCAAGACCTTCTAACATTCAGGCACAGTCATTTGACATGGATGCTATGCCATGGATCTCTACTGGGAAGAAGCCTGCTTGGTTTCACTGCTACTTCTCAGATGAGGGTCACTTTGCAAAGTCATCCCCATGAGTCACTGCAAATGCTAGTTTGCATGTGACATGTGTTCTGACTGGTGTGTCCCTCCCCCAAGAGGATGCACCAGGTGCACCCAAGCATCTCTCTGTCTGAGTGAGCTTCTTTGCAAAGCAATCAGTCCCATGGTACTTCCACATCCTTGGCAGATCTTAGACTTTGATTATCTTTTGGGCACCAGCAGTATGGCACCTTTTCCAGCACTGGTCACACCCTCAAAGTCAGGCTTCTGGTGGTCCTGCACCATGTCACAAAATGGAAATGGGGCTGACAGTGGGTCTCCTGCAGCATCAACAACCTCCTCTGCAGTACCCGAATGTGACCATTGTGATCTCTGCCTGTGCCAGGTTAGCCTCCCATGATGTCATTGACTGCAAGTTCTCCCACCGTTTGATCTAGCAAGATTGCTAACACCTGTGCTCTCTTCCAATGCCCATCTGTCACCTGCTTCTCTTCCTCAACCTCCCATACCCTAACATCAATGGCAAATCTGTGCTATGTCAGAATAACATATCTTGTGCAAGTGTAGTACTCACTCCAGTAGCCCAGTTTTCACATCACTCACCCACTTCTGACTTATACCATCACCAGTGGCTGGCCTAGGCAACCTAGTCAACCCAGGCAGAGCAACTGGTGCCAGCACAACGCTCATGCACTCCCCTGCTCCGGCAGCTGCAGCCAAAATGACTTCCCTCACTTCTAAATGATGTTTGCTAGCCTTGACATGCACTTGTTCAGGCAGGTGGAACTGTCTGGGTGCAGCTTGTGCCCAGTGAGCACAACTACTGAGTGCTCTGTGATCAATGTCAGGTATCATGTCCATGCTCACTTTCTTTGGCTGCTTCACCAGCATGCTGGCTGAGCCAACCTTGATGTAGTCTTGCAGTATGATGTAATTGGCACAGGTAAGCATACATGTCTCATCTTCATCTCACACTTACCTCTTGTTTGACCCTGTAGGAACCCATTGCTTATATCCAGTAACCTTGATGACATCAAATATCTTCAAGGTGCCGATGTTCCACAACAATCAGATTTTAGGACTGGCTGTTGTCCTGAAGATCCACTCCCCATCACTCAGTTCCAATCTGTGCCAGTTAGCTCAGGATTACTGCTCACAACATGTGCACTCACATCCAGTCTGCTGGCTCCTTTGTGCCAAGACATTCAGCCACAACAATCTGCACAATCACAGAGAAGTTCTCCAGAGCCCCAAATACCATTGTGTGGGATGCCCCCTTAGTTAGCAGGGGCAGGACGACATATCTTCAGTTGGGCATATCAGGTGCCAGTTTGGTAAGTCAGTTTCTAAACATAGCAGATGACATGACAGTTGCACTCAGGCATGAGACGTGTCTCAACATGCCTCCTCTCATGCATCTGCCTCTGCACTTCCAGCCCCAGGGTGTGCAGAGCAGTTGTCTATGGGGAGAGAAGGCAGGACGCAGCAAAACAATTAAGAAAATTCCTAAAATGGAAGGAGAGGCGGAAGTATAAGGGCACTTTCTCCCTGCCCAGGGACTGGGCAGAGGTCCGTCAAAACACGGTGATTGCAGGAAGGGTGTCTCCGCAGAGGGGCACCGGAGAAATTTGCTCACGGAAGTTGAACTCTCCAAGAGGCTGTGCGCCGAGAATTGCCTCCGCACCCGGTCCCAGCGCTTGCCCATGCCCTGATGATCTTTCAAGCTCGTCTGCGCTACTCGATCGACGGCAAGCATGTCCTCCAGTAACGCGTCCGCAGGTACATCGATGCGCCCGAATACGAGAGCTCAGCGCAAGTTACTGGACGCCAACCAGGTGCAGATACAGACCGATGGCCAAAAAGGAGAAAGTGGGACGAAAGCCGAGCAACATAACATGAGGGCTAACGACGAGATGTACACCATCTACGTCCTAGGATCCAATAAAAAGCAATACGCGAATGATTTCCGGAGAGACGCTACCATCGGCCAAGTGGTCATGAAGCTTTCCAACGATTGGGATGTGCCACAGGGTCATATGCGGGTGTTCGCAGTACGTTCCTACTCAGTCGTTTCCTGATGTCCTGCTGATAACGCAGCCCTGCATAGGTCGACGAAGAGAAACAGCGTAAAGTTCTCGAGGATCCTGACTTCCAATGGCCCGCAGAGAAAGACAAAGCGCTGCTACTTGGGACGAGTATCAAGAAGGCTTTGAAGCTTGGGGCAAGCCAGAGGCCCGACGAGGAAGGCACTCACTTTTTCGTACTGATCCAGGAGAAGGCCTCGGATCCAGGTGGACCCAAACGCAAGGCAGAGGAGCCTGCGGAAGGAAACGAAGAACGAAGCAAGAGGCAAAGACAAGATCCTGTGTTGCAAAGTACGTCACATCGTGTCACTCGAAACACACATCGCTAACAATTGGCCAAAAGATGTGCAACGTGCAGTCTCGTTTGCTTTCAATGCGCCTACGCCGTCCCAAGCTGCGACTCATTCGGGAATGCGCACAGCCAACGCGACCACTACCATCTTAGACGGTCGTGCTCGTCGAATTGGCGTGTCAGTCGGCATCTTCTGCCCCATCTTTGCAGACCTCCTAGCCGATCTACGGTCAAGCGCCAACGAAGGGCCACCCGCGGAAGTCTGTCGACTGGTAGAGAAACTCTGCGCGGACTCATCAGAGGAGTACGCCAGTGAAGACGAACGTATCGCCGCTATTTCGCCCACCATGGACGCGTTGCTTGGTCAAACATCGATGAAGACTGTCAGCAGCCAAAATACGTCTTCCGACCGATCTTACGTAACAAGCGTCTTCCGGGACAAATCTGGAGAATCCGAAAACGCTACGGTTGAATATAAGAATACACTGGGGTCCGGGCAGACCGAGCCCATATTTCAAGGCGTCAGCGCAGCTCGGAAGTATTGGGCTCAGCCTCAGGTACGAATTCTCACTCATGCCTAGGTTTGTCTCGCTGACTTTACCCACATTCAAGCGCAACAAAGTCCGTCAAGTGTCTCCCCACCCTGTCATATCCTTCGCGGTGGCCGGCGCGTGGATGTTCGTTCAGCTTGTGGTGTTTGTGGAAGCGGTCATCGTCGAAACGGTTCCTGAGCTATGTGGCCCGTTATTTGCTAACGCTGGTCAACACGACAAGTACATCCGAGAATTGGCGAAAAAGTTTTCGTGCCTCAATAAGGCGATGCTCCGATTGAGAAACTACTACAACGAACTTCCAAATCCCCCGCTTGCCGACCCAATAGCGCCGTATCTCCCCGCCTGGACACTTTTCGAGCTCTCCGATTCCGACAATCAAGAAGGCCGGCTAACTTATGACAAGCGTCTCATGGACGACTTCAGGAGCCCCATCTATGAGGCGGAATTGCGCACTGTCGACAGCGAACGCACAAAGCCCTGCGTGGTCAAGTTCTGCTCAAGATGGGGCACCTGGGTTCACAACTTGCTGGCTGAGAAGGGCTACGCGCCACAGTTGTACGGTGTGAAGGAACTGCCGGACGGGACGAAAATGGTGGTCATGGAGAAGCTCAGCGGGGAATCGATCTTCAAGATTGGCGAAGTGCCTGCTTCCGTTGCGAACGACTTCAGAACCGCCCTCGACACCTTGCGCGTTGCGGGCCTTGTGCATGGGGATCTCAGGGCGACCAACCTCATGTGTTGCTCGGAGAAAAATGGGAGCTGGGTCGGGAAGATTATCGACTTCGACTGGGCAGATAAAGAGGGCTCTGCACGATACCCGTTCAACCTCAACGACACCTCAGATATCCCATGGGCGTCAGGAGTAGGGAGGGGAGGGCTGATCAAGCATGCGCATGATGTACACATGCTCGAAGTGAGCCTGCACGGGAAATCTGTGGCTTACCGTTCGCAGTCAGTCATGAATCGCTAGTCATAATCTGTAGATTCACCGTATGTCATCTGGTCTACAATACTATAATCGTTAGATAAATAGTTTCGCATGTGTTGTGCCGTGTCATCTTCAACTCAACGGCGGAACTATGCAAGTGGTGTTGAGGTACGATGGACAACTGTGTGATTCTCGGATCTAAGTCATAGTGGAAAATCAGCCCGGCCCAGCTCACCATTTATGGGGGCTAGATGTGTCTGGAAGGATCTGCAGCAAAGAAGATGGTTCGCGGTATGTAAAGTGGGAAGGTCTTGCCATCGAGTGCCAGAGACGCTTGCAAAGCTCGGATCTGTTTGGCAGGACACGACTTTCCGCATGCCTACTTCTTTCCAAATTCTGCTCCAAACCAGAACCGTATATGTCGTGTGGGAAGTCGCCACCTGAGAGCGGGAAGGAGTGCAGATGTCGCCAAATACTTGCCCGAACTCATCTTTAACCGTGTCCCACCCATCGCACCTCTAATCGACAGCGAGGATCGAGGAATTGCGTCAGACCTGGCAAGGGAGGGCGCGTCTAGTGAGTAGACCAGCGACCGTTAGGCACGACGACGCACCCTGCCTCCTTGTCTTGAGAGGCTCGAAACGAGCCAGCTGAATCTTGCCCAGGTCAGACAGGGAGGACGAACGAGCTGACCGCCAGCAGTGCAGAAGGGGAGAGCCCGACCGTGTAAACTGAGGTACCGAGTGAGGTCTTTGTGTACTGGCCTGGCGGAATTCGCGAGTTGTTGGGCACCATGTCAGGTCACGGTCTGAGATGCGGTGTGGGGACTGGATGATGACAGGAAGAGGGAAGAGAATTTGGCGCACACGTTCATTGATTGTTATGTCTTCACCGGATGACTATCAGGTAGCGCTCGTCGTAGCGGGGCGAGTTGATCGTTGAGGTTAGTGCTGACGCCGAAAGACGAGGCGTGGGATGTGTCGGAGACGAATGTCGGTCTGTGAGCGGACGGCGCGAAATTAGTGATCTGATTCGGAATGGGGAGGAACGATGGAGCTGGGGCGGGTCGGCGTACTCACACCCTAATCAGTTTGTTTGTCTTCATCACCCTCGGGCATGGCCCCAGAACATGGCAATGATATTAAGACTCGATGCCCATCTCTAGTGGAGTAGGCGCTCACGTTGTGATCCCGGCTTGTAGTATTTGCCGCCCTCGCTAATCACGCACGCGTTGAATCTCCTCTTGCCCGCCTCTCCCTCTTCCTCGATATCGACGACAACCCGCTCGCTTCTTTCCCAAACAACACCGATACCAAGCTCCTGCTTCGTCCTCCTCTCTCCATTCCCCCTTCCCCAGCGGCCCCACAGCCCACCCAAGAAACCCAAAGACCCCGCTGTGCTGTACGCCTCCGGCCCCCCCCAAAAAAAAGCGCTCCCGATTGGCCCAGATCCACCAACCCGCGCGAGCCACTCGGACCGCACGCCACGCAGCCCTCATCTACATCAACTCCCCTCGCCCTCTCCCGCCTTCGGCCCGGAAGGCTTGCATGCGAGTCGACCGATCTCTCCAACAGCTCGGACCCGCGGTGCACAGAGAACGTGTGTAGAGGTACAGCATGCATGCTTCTCCAGAAGTCGCCGGGCTGGGGTAGGACTTCTCGCGCCGAACCTGGCAAGGTCCAAGGATGCGGCCGAGTGCACAGACCAGTATATGGCGCGAGCACGGATGGCCGCGGGGGGGAGGAGGTGGGTGGGTGGGATGTGGGGATAGACCGGGCGGGACGGTGGAGAATAAGGCCGAAACTGGGTGCTGTATGCGCCAGCGAGCCTGAGCGGCTATGCGCTGCGCACACAGCGTCCGACCGCGTGAACGCAGGATACGTTCGAGGGCCTCAGTTGGGCACGGTAGGAGGTATACGATTGCAGCTCCACCCATATGCAGAGATTGCATGGGGGGCGATTTCGGCTGCGTACAAGGTGTGACCCTCGGTTGAGCCGCGTACGTTCTGCTCATCAACCTGCTCAAGGTGTACAAAGCAAAGCGTGACCGAGACAAGAATGTGAACGACCTCGTGGACAAAATGAAAGACGTTTACGAGAAGATACTAGACAACCGAGACCTGCAAGGATTCGACCTCGATCTGCCTGATGCGGCTAAAGGAAGCCCTTGTCCAGAAACGTGAAAAGTCATTGAAGTCCTTGATAGCTCAAACAGATGCGTGTGGGAGATTCATCTTTAACTATTTCAAGCAAAGTACCGGTAAAGTCCTCCTCATCGTTTCCGTGTTCTACTCTGTAGCTCACTCCTCACAGCCCGCCAAACATCGTCAGTTGTGCTCCCGCGACGCGATGAGCTCATACAGCAGTTCAGCGATGCATTCGACAATCTGCTTCAGAAGTTCGACCGAATTGACAATTCTGACTCGCATCTTATTGGCATCGCAATGCGCTTTTCCGTTCGAGCACTAGGTGCGTCAGCTTTCATAATGCCTCGCTCGTCTCACGCGTCATACACAGAGACCAACATCGATTTGTCCAAATTACCATACGCCAAAGGCGCTGGTTGGCGATCGACAAAACAATCCTCGAGCACACGCGAACGCAAATCCTTGATGACATCATGGAGTGGGTGAATGATACTCGTGAAGGCACCGAACAAGTGTATCTACTTCTCCGCCGCGCTGGTACGGGGAAATCAACTATCGCACACACAATTGCGGGGCGATTGGGCGGCCTTGGTCGCCGTGGATCATCGTTCTGCTGTAGCACCGCGTTTGCGGATCGAGCGAATTGTTTGTTCTCCACCGTGGCGAAGGACCTTGCCGACTTAAACGACGACTTCAAAGAGGCCCTATGGAAACATGTCGGCCACAAAAGTGCCCTTCTATTCAATGACGGACCTGCAGAGCAAGTAAAGCATCTGCTTCTGGAGCCCTCTTGCTCTATGCGGCTCGTGACGAACGTTCTCATATTGATCGTTGGACTTGACGAAATTGGCAAGCCCAGCGTTAGCAAAGCGTTCCTCGACATTCTCTCCAAGCAGCTCAAGCAGTTACCACCGCAGGTCCGCGTTCTCCTTACCGCCCGCCCGGAGAAGGATATCTATCGTGCCTTTGATGGTGCAGAATCGGTCCACATTCGAGAACTGGCAACCGTTGAGCGGACATTCAAGCGTTCGTGCGGAGGGAGCTCGAGCAGTCTCTGGGGGACGAGCGTCATGAAGAATGCTACAGGGAGCTAGCTAAAAAGTCGGAAGGCCTCTGGGAATGGGCGCGTGTGGCATGCTGGTTTACGGGTAGCCCCCGTCGTGGGCAGGGCGAGGTGGGATGCCAGGTTGGGGCCCTACCGCTGGGTTTTCAAGCTGCTTCCGGCGGATGGGGTGGACGTCACTCGGAAGAGGAGGTAGACGACGGGCGGGCTGCGAAGAAGCCAGCGACAGCTCAGCGAAGCAGACCTGACCAAAGCCGCCCTGCATGCCGGCGAGCTCGTCGTCCCCATCCCCTTTTACTGGCTCTCCCGCTGTCCCTCCCTCTGTCCCTCCCTCTGTTTCTGTCTCTGTCCGCCTCTCTCGCCCTCTCTCAGCTCTCGTTTCGATCCTCCCGTCTTTCGAATGCTCCATCAGCCTCGTGCCATCCACGAGCAAGTCCTTCTATCTCAGGTGTGCCCCCCACCCCCTTTTCCCCCTCCTCTCCCGTCAACCCCAAGCTCATCCCCTCTCCCATAGGTTGCCCTCCCTCGGAATCTCACCATCTCTCGTCCTTCCCGATCGCACCGTTAGATCTGACTACATCCCCATGAGCGACCTCTCAGCAGAGCCATCTTCTCTCGGCCAATCTCGTCTCGCTTACACTCTCCACGTCTCTAGTGACCTTCAATCGCATTGACCGAACCACACCAAAGCATCCGTTATCCGACTCGTCTGTTTCGCTTGCATCACTCTCGACATCTGCTTATCCGAAGCTGTCTACGCCCTGATCAGCCTCTGTACCATCGGACAATATGCAGCTTCGCACCGCCTCTCCATTCCACAAGCTTGCCCGTGCGCAGATATAATGCACCATTTCTTTCAGTTCAAGTACCTATCGTCTTCTCGCCCCCACGACCCGCGACTCGAGACCGGATCCGCTACCACTGCGCACTACCCGCACTTTTATCATAAGCACACGATCCACCATTCAGACGCCTATCATAGCCATGCCAGGCTGTTAGATGGGAACGCCGGGCTGCTGGGTGGGTTCGCCAAGCTGCTGGGCGAGGTCAATGACGACAGAAGGTCGGGTGCTATTCTTGAAGGTGCGTCTGATACATGTACGCCAATATCCCGTGTGTTGACACTCTGCATGACGGGTAGGGTATTTGACGATCGAGCGCATGACGACGACAGGGACGATGTACCTTGCACCCATACAAGTGGGGAGCTTTCCGTGGAGAATACGCCGGTCTTATCGGATGAGCTTGTGCCGTCAGAACGAGGGCGTTACGAATGACGAGACGCCGAGAACGAGTACCCTGCCGATTGGCAAAACATCTTCACCTACAACATCGTGAGGGGACTCGGAAGACTCGCCTGGGTCAAGTCATGCATCGACACCGCCGTCCGAGCCTATCTCGTCCGACACGGACTGCACGGAGATTGGCAACAGTATAGAGGGCGTGAAGCATGCGTACTTGTCTAGGTATGTTCATTCCTCTCCTTCTCATTCGTACTACTGGGGATCTGTGCTTGGGTCATCCCTGCTCCACTTATACCCCGTGCCACTCATTGGCGCACATTCGCAGCTCGCAGCTCAGCTTTTGTACCTCTAAAAGGCAGTCTTCCCGTGGACAGCGGCTCATTTTATTGTGTACTGGAGCCTTCTTCAGGTTAGCGCCTTCTCGCCAAAGTCGTTGCGTTTCTGTCCACTCCAGAGCTCCCACCGTGAGGACGAAGAATACTCCTTAGCCACGCTACACCAGTGAGAGACTTGGGAGTACAACGACCGTCCCGCAATGAGCTGGTGCCCTGACAGATCAGCACTACCTAATATAGAATCTAAAGGAATGTGGAGGTGGTAAATAGAAGATACTGTGGAATATACCTGAAACTTATTGAGTGAGACAGACCCTCAATATCAGTCTGGTGGTATCCAGATGCTGTGTGCAAGTCAGCAAAATGGATGTTCCAGGGATGAATATATTGGATTTGACTATGATGAACTAACTACAATACAACTGCAGGGAACTTCAGATAATGACTGTCCTCAGTCACCATTGGGATTGTAGAATAGCCATTTGTAGGATGTCAATCATATGCAATCTTGCAAAGGTACACAGAGGTAATGATACTGGTATCTTGTAGCAGTAAATATACTGGTTGGACTCATGTTGTTGATAGTATGGTCATGGTCATGTGAATGAAATGATGGCTTGTTTGAAATGTGGCCACTCAAGTGAAGCCTTGGCCTGTGTGCATTGCCAGGATGAAGTGGCTGTGTGGTTTCAGTGTGGCCATCTCCCATGGGGAACTTCTGAGAAAGGCCATCTGGGCCTTACCATTGTCAGTACCTTGCACTGGTACTGGCCTTGGTGACTTGGCCTTGGTAACCATGGTCTAGGCAGTGGTGGCAGTACAGAACTAACCACCCCCTTTAAAAACCATTGCAGAGGTGAATTTTGTTCTCCTCCAAACTTGACTTTTAACCACCATGTACTCAACTTTAGCCATGGCTGTGCCACTGAACTTATCCCCAGTGAAGAAGTTGTATTGAAGAATATGGCTGTGCAGCACCCCAAGGTTACCACGGCGTGGGTACCAAGTGACACATCTGCATACAAGAAGAAGCTTGGTGACGTCATGGCTGTCATCCCAAAGGACTGTGAGGAGAGGGGGAAGTGGTTAAAGGAGGAGGAAAAAGTGGGGAAGATGTGGTTGTATTGTAGTTAGTTCATCATAGCTGACAGTATCCGGATACCACCAGACTGATATTGAGGGTCTGTCTCACTCAATTAGTTTCAGGTATATTCCACAGTATCTTCTATTTACCACCTCCACATTCCTTTACGCCCCAATACAATCCCGCTATGTGAAGCTCCACATCAAAGTCAATGTCAGAGTAAGCCAGTCGCGTGGGTCATCAGGTGCTGACCATGGGCCATCTCAGATCGGCCAGCACCCACGACTACTCCAACGTTATCATACCCATACTCCGCGCGTACAACGCCACAACGCGGTACGTCGACCAAGAACAAGCGTCTGGATGCGTTCCCCTTCATCGAGCCGTGGCACGCGGACATCCTCGGCCTGCGCAAGAACCACGGTCAGGAGGAGTTGGCGCGCGCAACCTCTTCTACGCCTCTGAATCTCGAACCTCTTTATGAAGCACGTCGAGCAGGACCGGAAGTGGTCTCTCTTCTACCCGAACGAGGCTCCGGGCCTGTCGGACGTGCACAGCAAGGAGATTGAGCAGCTAGTCAATCGCTACGAGCACGAGGGACACGCGAGGCAGACGATCAATGCCCAGAAGCTGTGGTATGCTATCATGGACATACAGGTCGAGACAAACGGTTGGGCTGACTTGCGAACATAGATTGTGCAAGAAAGGCCAACACAAGTAACATGAGAAACGAGGAGGTACGCCAGACAGGCATGTGCGAGATTGATTCGAGGTCGCGAGTTGGCGCTCATCGTGCTCTGATGTAGCCTACTCCTGCCTTCTCCGAGCGCAGTGTCGGTGTGGAGCTCGAGGCGCTTATGCGTGTGCCTACCAACCCTGGTTAGACTGCGATTCACCGCGTCCTAGCACCGTCATATGCGTTCTGAGTCCCGACCAGCTTCTTAAGACTGAAGGAGGCGGAGTAGGATGGCTGACGTGGTGGGTGAAGTTCGAGCACAGCCCTTCTCATACTATGACTGCTGCTCATCGCTTCTAGCATAAGGTCGATCTCCTAACGTATGCAAGCACCGACCGCGGATGTGAGATGAAAGAGGGAGCTTGAGGCACGGATTCGAGCAGGGTGGGGCAGCGGGTACAGACGCTGCCACTTGGAGTGCGAGGTCATCTTGCATATCATCATGGCCGCGCACTCGTCTCGCATTACATCATGGCCGCATCCTGGAACCGAATCTGTGTGCCCGCCGCATGAAGAAAGTGGGTGGGGAACGAGGAGAGAGTATGCGGCATGTGAGGCAGTTGAGGGATGATGCCTCCGCGGTGCTGCCCGGAGCATCAGAATGTCATAAAAGGAATCCGACGCGCTGCACAATGCCTACAAATCATGGCCGGTCGCCTGAGGATTCGGTAGACTTCAACGTGTGGCTACTCTAATATACTTTGCCAATGCTAGGGGCCTGGGCCACTCAATCGAAACGTTTTCCCTCGCATCCTCCACTGTTCACTCTCGCTGGAAAAGGGATGCTGTATGCTCTTGGCGTTCGATACGGCGACTACCCAAAGTGGACACCCACTCGCGGGAGCACCGCCCGGTCATCACGGGATGCATGCACACGCCGTGATGAGCGGCCTTGCTGGGATTGAGCGCACTCACGTCATCAAGCTATACGCCTTGTGTTCCTGCCCGAGTTCCCTTGAGCCCTCTTACTGCTGTGGGACAACAACGCTTCCCACCGCCACCTCCTCATCAGAGACGCCTTTCCGGACATCCTCGTTGTCCGCGTTTAGCGCGTTCTGCTGCAGTTGGGGCGTCCACGTATTCACTTCGAGCTCTCGGGGTCTTCTTCTATAACCTGATCGTTGGGAATCACCTCGGTTGGGTCATCCACGACCACCTGGAGCCGCATCTCCCCGTTGCCGTCAGTTGTCTCGAGCACCCCCATCTCGACTCCCTTGGCGTGCTTGACCCCACCCTCGAAGACCCTCGTGCTCGTCGCCCACCTGCTCCCTCTTCAGGCTGCACCTGTGCTACAGGGATGAGGAGAGCATGTCCGCATTCGTGCGAGGTGGTTGGTCGTAGTGCGCGTTCCGGGGTTCTGACTCAAGGTGGCGTAAAATGTTTCACCTTCTGACCCAGCGGCATTGTGATTAAGCAAGCGCGGATTCCACAGTGGGTGTGCTATCCATCTTACGGGCCTGTCCGGCCTGTTCCCTGCCTGCCCTGGCACTCTGCCTAGGAAGGGTCAGCTCTTCATTCTATACTCTGCGGCCCACCCGGCCAGATGTTGCTCGGCGAGGAGGATGACGGCGACCCTGGCGGGGAGAAGGGAGAGACCCCCGCTAGCAAGGGTCAGCTCTTCGTTCTGTATGGCGCGGACAGCGGGACACGCACCTCTGCGGCCCGCCCGGGCTGCTGTTGTGCAACGAGGAGGAGTGTGCTCCATCTTCGTGCTCTTCGTTTTCCTCATCCCCTCTCCGTTGGGCTCAGGGTGTTGACGGTCGAGGGCGAGGACACGGCTGGCGGGTACGGGTAGAGCTCAGTGGACTGCGCAATCCTCCCGGACATCACATTCATGCTTGACGTCCAGCTTGTGCCAACCACAACTTCAACCTTCTGGACAAGAGCCGTCATCGGGTTGACGATACGCTGGGCGGGCAGAGGGCGGAGGCGGGTTGATGATGGTCTGGGCGAGGGGAGGGGGCAGGGTGAGGATGGTGTCGACAGAAAATCAAGGCCCAGCAGACAGGATTTGGCAGGATCGACTCCAGATGAATGTAGGAGGTGGGGATTGGCATTTTGGTTGTCCCACAGCGACTCTAGTAGGGTGTTGCGCCCGGGTGAGCGTCGGCTGTGGCATCTTTAGATGACGTGCGGCTGGTCGATGGAGGAGAGGATGGCGTCAACGCGCGGGGCCCATCTAACAGCGTCTGTCAACGGCGGGGAGGGCTATTCAGAGCGCGAGAGTGCTCCCCTACTGCACAATCAGCGAGATGGCCGATACCAGAAACCGTAGAGACATACACAGCCCGCTTGCTAACCCCCTGCGGTCCTGTCCCTCCCCAGCCGTCGGCAGGGAGCGAGTTTTGGGGCATCAGGGCGCTCGCCTGCTGCACGATCATAGAGATGGTCGATAGCAGAACAGCACAGACATACCAGAAACCCTGCCCTGCTCGAGAGGGAGCAAGGTGCCTCGGGGTGTATGAGTGCTTGCCTGCTCCAAGATCAGCAAGGTGGTGAACATGAAAAGCGCGGGCACATACCCGTCACTGTCGCCCACTCCCTGCCCTGCCTGTAGGCAACAAAACAGGTACAAAGTGGCCAGAGTGTTTGGCTGATGCAGCCTCAGCATGCTGGTTGACAACAGAACGAGAGAACATGTGTGCGACTCACTACCCTGCCTCCCCACCCGGCCGAGCGGCACGGAAGGCGCTCGAGTGACCGGTCGGCTACTCTGGGTTATGGGTGAGTTGGCGAACGGGATGAGAAGAGCTTGTATGCTTACTGCAGTGTGCAACTTGGTCATGTGCCCATATTTCACCCCAGGCATGGAGAGCCTAAGCATTTCTGCACACTAGCGGTGGCTGAAAGAGGCAGCAAGCACATAGAGCAGCGGGGCGGATCACAGATACAAGTGGGGCATGGGAAAGGGGTCTAGAGTGAGGGGGGGGGTGCCGAGGGAGGGGGTGGTGTGCGAGGAAGCGAGTGCGTGCTGATAGGTGGGCCTGATGAACGAGACGGAGGGAATCGGGGGGCTGGCACCCAATATATTAACGGATGTGCAGGGAGAGAGCACGAGGATACTTCACCCCGGAAATGAAGACCTGTACATGGCATTTGCAAAAGATTTATGTGCAGTCATCTACTTCTACTTCAACATTCCGATCCCCCTGTCTCGCCCCGGGATTCTCGTGGGACCTATCAAAGTTGTTCAAGGTCCAGTAGGCTGGGTTAGCACTCCTCTTCGGACCGAACTCAAGCAGTTTCATCTCCGGCATCGCCGGAGTAGTCTCGGTAACATAAATGTGAACTGCAAAACCGCTCCGAGCCTCCACTAGTATCCAGGCACGTCAGACACCGCACTCGCGCGGGCTGAACCCAGGCACAACTTACCATTCACCAGATCAGCGGTGATATGATTCAGAGTCTTGACTGTCTTACCCGCAGCCCTCGTAGTTTTATGATCGGGGTGCCTGAAGAGGAGTTACCGCTTGAGCCGGTCTCTGTCACAACCGGCGGGCGGCCGTGCTCACCGAATAACCACGAAGTCGGCACCTCGCTGCAGGGCTGCATCAATCACAAAGCGTTCCACGCTTTCTACCCTAGCGGGATCATTGGGTGGCGGTATGACCCACCGGATCGTGATGTTGATGACCCGGCGAGGGCGAACGGCCGAAGCTAGGGCAGAGAATGCGCGATTAAACATGTTGGTGGTTTGTCGAAGACGATGTTAACAAGGTTGATAAGAGACGTTGATAGGTGCTCTCTAGGTGCTACATGCCCGTTATATCCTTCTCAGGTGGCTGCCAGGTAACCACTTAATCAAACAAAAGCACATAGTTCGATGCAATTCGCAGCGAACAATGGCGAGAAGCTGGTGCAGACATGTCACCCTTATTGAGTGCGCCCAGCATATCCCCCAGTACTGAAACAATCCTAACCGAACGAGATCCACCATTACCTACCACGATAGGGCGGAGCATCCTCAAACAACCAAACAAAGTGCACTGCATGCTGCCGGAAGGGCGTGCACGCTGCATACTCGGAGTTGTAGGCAAGATGAGACTATCAAACTCTTGACTCTTAATCACTGTATTGCACCTGAAAGCCTATGCAGCTCGATCGACAATCATCCTCTAGCACACCGGCCTAGCCGGATTCGCGTCCCGCTTCTTCCGTGCTTCCTTCACCAGCGCCAAGTGCCTTGTCTAGCGATGCACATACAAGACCAATGCGAGGTCGATCCGCCGGTGAGCAACTCAGCATCGGTGACAGGAGCCCTGCCCAGCACTGCACCTCTCGTTCGCTGAGCTGACTGCCCAACGCCGCCAGAATCGGCTCTTCCAACACGACCCCATCGTTATCCCTATTAGCGATAGAACGCAGCTTTGTCTCGAGGATTATCCTTGTTTTCGTCGTGGTCGCAGGCTCTCTGCCTTGCTCCAACGAGCAGGGCATCGGACTGTCATTGACCAAGAGCGACCGAAGTGAGTTAGGAGGTTTGTCCAGCAGCGCCTCTATCTGCCTCAGAACCTCATTGTCACTTGCCCACATCGGGTCGATCAGGGGATAACCGGAAAGCATCTCAAACATCAACAAGGCGAACGACCAAATGTCCGAAGTGAGGCCAATTTGCTCTTGAAGCATAGCTTCCGGCGACTGATAGTGTAGCGGGACGGTTGGCTGTCTTTGAATTGTGCCTTGCGGAACCGGAACTGTGTCTCCGATATCGATGCAGATAATTGACTCTTGCAGGAACGGAGCCATAGCAGGGCCCAACATGTTCGCAGGCTCCACCACCTCGCTGGGGGCATGCGGGGCCACGGCCGATCCGTCTACCGTCCTCACCGGTCTTACTTCCGGCCGTCCAACCATCTGGTACAACTCTGCATCCGTCCATTTAAGCACGCTCTCTAACAGAGAGAAAGCCCAGTTGGACGATGTCATGTCTACATCGGTCCTGGTCAGATACAGACGGGGTGTTTGCTCTGGTCACAGCCATTCACATACCATGCAGTGCCATGCCATTCTCGTGCAGCAGCCGGATCGCACTCCCCGCCTCGCTGGCCAGCTTCGGGACCAGGTCCGCCCTCACACGGGTTGTTCCTTGGATCAACCCAGGACGACAGAGCATTTGTCTGAGGCTGGGACCTGTCAACGGTTGCACCAGGCAGGTATGCAACCCATTCGCGCTCGTTTCTAGAAAGTTGGATAGCGGCACACGGATGTGCTGTAGTGAGGACGAATCGACCACGATCGACCGCAATCGCTGGGCTGTCAGCAGCTCGGTGTTCGCATTCTCTTGGAGCTCGGCGGCCAGAACCTTGATCGCAACCAGGATACCATCTTCGTGATCGCGCGCAAGCCACTGCGTGGAAGAACCCCCGCTCCCGAGCTTGTGCAGAACTTCGTACCGGCCATTGCAAAGCCATGAGTGCAACATAATAGGGCAGTAACCGCCTGGTCGATAGTACTCCAGATCCTCGACGTCGTCCGACCCCGCATCGTGGAATCGCGCACCTGGCCTGTGGTCCAGCAATGTGTCGGGCTGCACCAAGACGGGCGAGACATATTGCTTGGGCCGCATTGAGTGTATCGCCTGCCGGGCAATCAGATTCAGTCGTTGGAGAAAGTGGAACATGGCGGTTTCCCAATGACTAGCGCCCATCCATAATATGAAGGACAAGCGCAACGTGGCGGAGAGTGAAAGAATCCGGGGCGGCAAGCGGCCACGGTGGCCGCTTTGGCCGGCGGCTGCGCCCGGAACCATATATCAGGACCCGTTAGGGTCCATGAAGGAAATACCTTCATAAGGGTCCAGTTTGGTCCTAGTTTCAGGGTCCAGTTTTGGTGGCTTCTAATTGCCCCCAGTTGCCACCAGGAGCACATTTATGCTTCTTCTTAGGAAAAGCACAATAGAATATTCCAATGGCCTAAGCAATGTAATAGAACATTCTTTTTCTCCCACTATCCCTGCCCAGCCTGTTGGCATCACAGCATGCCAGAACCAGGCCTTTGGGTTCCCATCATGATTGGGCTAGCAAGGCAGGTTATTGGGCTAAGACCCAGTTTTGGGGAACCAAAGGGACCTAACTGGGCCTTAGTGCTGGCCTTCAGTTGCCCTGGTCCTGTGGCTATTCAAGTGCCTTAAACTCACAACTTCTGCACCAACTTGAGCAATTCTCTTTCCTTTTTCCCCTCACCCCAGCTTGACTTTTATTTAAATCTTTCCCCTGTGCTTAACTTAGCTATGTCTCAGTATGTCACTTGCAGTGGTGGATGTGCTCCTGATTGGGGTAATGGTGAAGAATACCCTCTTGAGTGCTTCAAGATCCTTGCTGCTGCAGCAAAAGAGCCATACAAGATCTCTGGTCTTCTTCCCCCAAAGAGAGGACTGTGTGGGTGAATGTCAGGGCACCAGCTCATTGCTTGGTCAAGAGACATGACTAAGCCTTTATGACATGGAAGTAGCTGGTATACCTTGGCATGTGCTGGAACCTGCTGGAAGGATTGGATGGTCAGGTGACCTGCTGTGCATGGCTGTGCATGACCTCATCCTTGGTCATATGACCTGATCACCTGACTAGGCTGAGTAAGCAAGATGTTATAGCAGGTTCCACCACAGAGGTATAAATATAAGGCCTACTCTGCCTGGGGACTGTCTCTTCAGACTTGGTCTCTTAGGATCATCCACAGGTACCTATACTGTAGATAGGTCTTAGTCATCAGGTCTACTCCACTTCCTTGTTGCCTGCTTAGACTCTTGGCACTCTTAGGTGAGCAGACTTAGTCAGCCTGTGTTGCCCTAACAGTGAAGAATCTTGAGCTCCTCACTGCTGACTGGGTAAGAACATCCCCCATGCCCCTCCCACTTTGTTTGCTTATATCTTATTAGGAAGCTGTCCATACCCTTGCCTGAGAGCATCAAGATTAGTTTGCATCCCTCTCTCCCACCCAAATTGAGCATATGGGGTTAGACCTCCAGCAGCTCTGGTTGCACTGCCAAAAAGGCAAGGGTCAGTCCCAGTTTTGCCAGTTAAGATCTGGTTTGGATCCAGTTAGCTGACACAGACAAACAGAAATTAGGCTTATACAGTGTGCAACTGCTATGAG